GTCTGCGCCTCCGGTGAGCTTGGTTGTTTTCTCCATAAGATAAGTTGTGTCAGCACGTGCTCCCCGTCCACAGGGTTGCACGAGGGAACACGACTTTGGCTGGCTTAGAGGCCTGCTTTGTTTTAGCAGTAATAGTGGGTCTCAAGAAACAAAAGCTCACGTGTTGAGTATGTCTGTGTGACTTTAAGACGGAGGAAGCCAAGTGCACACATGGGTAATGAACTGGTAGGAAAAGAATATTCATACCGTGTAATTTTGCCTGCTGTTTTGCCACGTGTGTATCCTGGCATGCTGGGACGTTGTACCAAGTAGTGAGTAAGCCTAGGACCAAGACAGGGGCTTTAGTATTGAATGTTCATGCCTCTGGTGTTTTAAAACAGCAGTGCTGACGTTGTGTAAGAGTTCTCCGTAATACTTCTCGTAGTCTGTTTCTTTCTGTAGAGGTATAAAACAAAAGGTTGGTTTGTTTGTTTTAATATTACTGCAATTTAGTTGCTTTTAGGTCTAATTTGCTGTAGAACTTTATTTTTTCTTCTAGCCAAATGCCTTTAGAAATAATAAAAGCAGTCTAAACAGCTGTTTTTCAAGCCATGCTGACTGACAAAAAGGCCAACAGTATAAAAGTTTTTTGTGGGTTCTGCCCCCCTTTAAGATACCTTTCTGTGTGCTGGCTACCATTTATTAGCTTTCCTTGCCCTAAGGGGAAGAAGGGAGAGGGTAATGGGGGATAAAAGGAAAATGTTAGTTGCCAAGCCCAGTTTTGGTTTAATCTGTACATGCAAGGTTGAAAAGTCAGGGGAGGGTTTTTTATGTTAAAGTCTAGTCATACCTGGTTTGTTTTAACATACACACACACCCCCCCCACGCCACCCCCCATTTTAAAAACAGCTTTATCATACCTCCTGTGTTAAGTGACATGGATTAGTCTCAGCTGCCTACATGTACAGCTATCTCTGTTCCTGTGCATCTCCAGTAGTGTGTTCTCATCTGAGTGATTAAAATGGTCTTTGGACTCCAAATCTAGCAGTTTCATTCTGATCAGAGTTTTAAGTGGTGGTCCTTTAAGTGACCCAGTTGGCATTCCTCCTCATTAAGCATCAGCCTTGCTTAAAATCAGTGGCCATCTCTTTCATTCCTCCTACCTCCCCTCTGCCCTGTTGATCAGGCAGACTATCCTGAGAGCAAAGCAGAGGTTTCAGAGGCTAACAGAAAAGCAGGCCAGGAAGTCTGCCAGAATTAGGCAGGCATTCTCGCTTCTCTTCAGCAAAAGGTGTTTCTGCCAGCAA